ATCTTGACAAAAAGACTTTGCACATATTTATGAATTATCAATATAGAGGCATTTCCATAAACTGGTTAAGAGAAAAGAAATGAAAGAGAATTTTATTAATATGCATAAGCAAAAGGTTTTATTTCTTCTTCTTTATTTTTATAGAAGGATTACAAAGGAATTTTAGAAGAATGGCAGGCCAAGGTTGGATACATTGTTTGGGCTTCAACAATCATGTCTATGATGGTTGCCCCCTGGTTCTCCTAATTGCTTCAGTCGAGATGCCCGAAGCCGGAGTGAAGACTATACAAAGTTGCCTGCTTCTGGAAGGATATTACCTTAGCCACCTTTCGGTTTTCGACTAAGATAACCATTGCTCTTAGGGGATTTTTTTTTTTTAAATCTCTAACCTTTGCCTGGGACGTATCCTAGCGAGGAATGTAGACCCTATCTTTTGTCCAGGCTGCCCTTTGTGGGTTTTCATCCTGGCGGGTCTTGAGCAATGTCTTCAAGCATAATACTTCTTCACCGCAGACTAGGTGTTTAAGTTCCTTTCTATCCATGTCGGTGAGGATAAGAGCTCCTCCCGAGAAAGCTCACTTAACCATAAAGGGTCCTTCATAATTTGCCGCCCATTTTCCAATTTTGTCCTTTTGGGCCGGAAGCAATTTTTTTACCATTAAATCCCCCTCATAGTAAATATGGGGGTTGACCATTTTGTCATAAGCCCCTTTTGATCTTCCTTTGATAGGCTTGTCCACGACATGTGGCGTCCAACCGTTTTTCTTTGGTTAAGTTCAATTGGTCGTATCAATTTTGGACCCATTCGGCTTCTGCCAATTTTGCTTCTATGCTAACTCGCAGGGAAGGTATTTCGACCTCTATCAGAAGTACAACCTCCATGCCATATACAAGGGAAAATGGAGTAGCTCCTGTGGAGGTCCGTATGGAAATTTGATAACCATGAAGGGCACAGGGCAACATTTCATGTCAATCCTTATAGGTTTGGACCCTTTTTAGATAATCTGCTTGATGTTCTAATTGACTGACTCTACTGCACCATTCATTTTAGGTCGGTAGGGAGAAGAGTTATGATATTGGATTCTAATGTCTTGGCATGTCATGGTAGGACCATGCGCATGCGTCCATATACTTCCTTAATAGTTGTACTAACCCTCCCCTAATGTTATCATTGATTTTGGTATCAATACTCATTTCTTTCTTATCGTTTCCTTGCCCCCAAATTGATGGCCTTGATTTCTTCCTAGTGGGGTTGTATATACCGAGCTTCCTTTTCTAACAGCCTATGCTTGTCCGAGGAAATGGTTCCCTCTTTAGTGTCTCACCCGATCCATTCGTCTTCGACTTTCGGATCTTGCAGAGAGTCATCCATCACAGACATGATTGTTCTTATGGTTTTGTTTAGGCTTAGATTTTATTATCATTTATTTTTGAAAGAATAATGAGGGAGAAAAGAATGAAAAAGAATATGAATGTTATGCAAATGCCTCATTATATTGATAAAAAAGAAATATTTACAAAGCCTTTTTAATCAAAGATCTCGTGACCACGGGCAGGGACCGTGAGAGATATGCAGGAAGCTTAAAAATATATGAAAACTAAGGAGCCCTAATCAACTGGTCTTCTTCATCTAACCCCACTATTCTGGTTGTGACAGAGGCTTGGCATCCATGTTAGGAGCGGGAACATCGAAAGTGATCCACCCGACATTCAACAATTCTTGAACCTTATACTTCAAGTTCAAACAATCCTCCACAGAATGCCCAGGAGCGCCCAAGTGGTAATCACATTTTTCGTTGAGCTTGTACCAACAGGGGTAGGGTGGATCCCTTTTCTTCAGAGGGATACGTGCTAGGAGCTTAGCCTCTAATAACTTTGGTAGCATACTCCCATAGGAGGTTGGAATGGGAGTGAATTTCTTCTCTTATCTGCGTGACTGCCCAGCTGGTCGCAAATAGGAAGAAGGAGTAACAAGGTTGATGGCATTCACGTTTCCCTCCTTCTTCTTGCCAAAGGACTTCTTGAATGATGCAAAGGATGAGGAAGGTTGTGCGATCTTCCCACTCTTCAGTCCTTGCTCTACCTTTTCGTTGATGATAACCACATCCGCAAAAAGGGTTGATGTGTTCCTTATCATCTTATCATAATAGGGACCCATCAACGAATTGATGAATATGGATATGGTTTCCTTATCCGATAGTGGAGGCTCCACTTGGGTGGCAAACTCCCTCCAATGTTGAGCATACACCTTGAAAGATTCATCATTTCTCTTGCTCAGAGCTTGTAAATCTGACCTATTTGAAGTTAGGTCGATGTTATATTTGTATCGACGAAGGAAGGCATCTGCCAGCTGTCTCCATGTTTGAACTTGTCCCCCTTCTAATTGCATATACCAGTTCAAGGCCAAATCAGCCAAGCTTTCCTGAAAGCAGTGGATCAGGAGTTCCTCGTTATCGGCATATAGAGCCATACGGCAGTACATTGTAAGATGGCTCTTGGGACAAGTCATTCCCATGTACTTGGGGAAATCTGAGACCTTGAATTTTGGAGGGAATTGGATATTCTTAACGAGGCACATGTCAACCGCCTCCTTCATGTCAAAACTATGTCCCTCCATAGCCCTTAGTCTCTCCTCAAGGGCAAAAATTTGTTGTTGGGAAACCTCGGGAGGTTGAATGAGTACTGCCCTTGAGTCGAGCCACATATGAGCTTCGTGTTCAGGCTCGTGGACGGGTTCCTCCTCTTCCTCGTGATGGGAGGCATGGTCACTGTGAGGACCCTCTTTGTGAAGGTGTTGTTGATGCATTAGTTCCATCAACTGCGCTAGCTGCTCCTTTACCGAATTAAACTCAGCGGTGAATGCATATGAATTAGGGTTTTTATTTTTATTTTTTTGAAATGAATGATTAGTATGAGATGGATATGCCTTAAGACAATGACTTTGATATCTTCCTTGAAGCTTACGCTTCATGGAAGAGCACACCCAGTTCGGTGTAACGGTTCCTTCCCCATCATGGATTGACAAGTATAACAAAGGTTACCACACCTTAGCACACTTGCCCCTTCCTTGTCGTAGATTGACAAGTATAACGAAGGTTACAAAGACACTTGGGTCTCTTTCGCCTTTGTTTTAAGGATATGTAATGCCCCCTAGAATGAATGTATTTATGCATGAGAGACTTTATTAGGATGATGAGTATGCATACTTTCCTTATGCATTTATTTTCTCTCTTATTTTTACCACTCTTGAAATGATGAGGGTATGAATGATTTGACTTTATCAAAATCTTTTATTAAATTTTGTTTTTAACCCTTTATCAAAGATTTTCCGAGATAAAGTGGTTATAACAACAAAGAGAAAGTTTTTTTGTGTTTTAAGAATTTTTATTATTTTATCTATTGTATGATTATGTTATGCAACAAACAAAATGCAACAAATATATGCACAAACAATTCACTCATCCGTGAACAAAGCGACTACGTTTAATTACGAGGTAGGGGTATCCTGTAGAAAAGTGCATTGGCAAAGGTGGGTTCTAACTGTTCTCACAAAGGTTAGGTCCCCAAGGTGCCCCCATTATAGGGATCCCACAGTCTCTCAGCCCTCAAACCATGCGTGGCTCAAGGCCTTGTCGACGTCCTGCAGACTGAGAGAGGAGGGTTATCACCTTGAGTGGTGGTTTCCGACAATGACTTGCTGGCACTCCACGATCGGCCGTACATGCCACCCACTCCCTATGGTTATTCGCTCTTCCCCCCGAGTATAGAGGGATTTTATGTGCCAGGGTTGTGTACAGTTTTTATTTCAGACAAGTGCAGAAAATAAACACACAACAGTTATTAAAGTCATACAGATAAATCATGTTATACAATCTAAGAAGGGTAAAGACATAATTTCAAATCTTTTTTATGTTGCATTAATCCATCACTAAATGGGATCAACTCTTTAGGCTTTCCCAGTGGAGTCACCATCTATCACCGCCGTCCCCAACCCCTAAGGGAGGGGAACCAAAAAAGGCGATCGATCGCGACGCAATGGTTTGTGACTTGTGTTTTCGTAAAATAAATGGTCATCATTTTTAGGATGCTTGTTAGCTGAACTATCCTTAAAGGCGAAGTTTTCATAAAAAGGGGTTATTAAGGAGTCGCCACCAATGTTTTAACCATAAACATTGGAAAAGGATAAAACAAGAAGGCGTTGGTTTAGAAAAAACCAACTTTGGCCATTATAACCAGAGTTGGGTAAGGGAGTTAGTTACGTGGATTAATTCTAAAATAAAGATACAAAAATTATGCTTTTACCCTATTTATTTACTTGCAGTGTTTAAACAAATATCTATATGACCCTAATTTCTAATGCATACAAAAGAAAGCGATAAAAGGAAAGTGGTAAAAGAGAAGGAATAGAAAAGGAACCTCCGAAGCGAGCTTTTAAAAATCTTTAAACTTGAGGACGCTTTTTGGCAATTCCCTCCCTCTACAAGAGCACTCCTCCCCCGAACAATAAAATTATTATACTACGGAGGGTCGGATGTCTCAAAATTTTCAAAAATGGATATATTTTTCAAATTTAAACGGCCATAATCGATTATGTTACCAGTATAATCGATTATGACAGAGAGAAAATCGATTTTTCATTTCTGATGCATCATATTATGTTTATTTGATGATATAATCGATTATAACCCTTACATAATCGATTATGACAGTAAAAAATGTCATATTACGAAATTTTATGACACTTGTGTTTTGTAGGCTTATGCATAATACTACTTCATCAACTTATATCTCCATATCTAGTGTTCTAAGACTCTATCTAGTCTTTAGGCTTCATCTTGGGCTTGCTTGAGTCTTGAATGGGGTTGACTTGAATCTTCATCAAAATCATCTTCTTCAGAATGTAGAGAAAAAATTTACATAGCTATTAATCTTCAGAATGTATATTTCACAATGCATTATGGTCATGCTATGCTGCTAATTGTTTATCACTTATTTGTCACGTCCATGACATGCCACCACCCTGTTCTGCCACAATATTCAACCTGCGTTATTCTTTTTGAACTGATTTTGTTCCTCTTGCATAGTTGAATCCAGTATTCATCTTGTAAGGCTTCATCAATGCTTTTAGGCTCTACAAAGGCTACATTAAAACAAAAGTAATCCACTATCAAGAAACCAGAGTGATTTCTTATCCTTGATAATCAACTACAACATCATCATACAAATTTAGGTACCCTTTGATTATTTTTGGGTCCTTAAAGGTTAGTAGAAACACAAGTCTCAACCAAAAAAATAAGGATGAATAGCAATATGATATAATGGATTATGTAATTCCCGTAAAAAAAATCAAAACTTTCAAAAGTTTACTGTTATAATCGATTATGGAGAGTTCATAATCGATTATGACAGTAAGATAATTCATACGTATCAAGTTTAACCAACCATAATCCATTGTGGTGTCTCATAATCGATTATTATAGAAAAAAAAAACATTTTATGAGAATTCATAATCTATTAGATGCTCAAGCTATCAATTTATGTTTGCCCCTATGGGCACCCATTCATATTTGCCATTAGATATACCAAAATGTTTTATGTAACATCTACTTGATATATAACCTAATTTCATGCAATAAAAACATCTTGGTTTTCTTTGAAAAGGTCTAAATGAGTTTCTTAAACTTTTTGAAACTAGTTTTACATCTGTTTTCCTTGACTCTTTCTCAAAAATAATTTTATGAGGTTCTATACTTTCTTGGGTTTGTAACCAAGTCCAACTTTGCTAGAATCCCCTCTTTGATAACCTAATAAAGAATCAAGATTTGAAGAAGATTTGGAGAAATCGTTCATTATTTTCTTTAACTTGAAAATCTCATTTTCCAAATGATTACAATTTTCGCAAGGATTAACTACCTCTTTATTTTTACACAAAGTTTTAAATTTCTCAACATCTTTCTTTAAGCACTCATTTTCTTTTTCAAAAATGCCAACAATATATTCTAATGCATGAAATTTTTGTTTAAGAGCAGTATATTTCTTAGCTAAACTTTCAAACTTTTCATACATTTCTTGATATGATTCATGCAACTCATCATATGCATTTGAGGATTGTGTGCTACTTACTTGTGTGAGGCTTCACCATCACTTTTTATCATCAAGCAAAGATTTGCTTCTTCTTCTCCATCACTGCTTTCGGAAGAGCTTTCTTGAGTAGTGGAAGAGTCATTGTCCTCCCAAGCAATATAAGCTTTGTGTTTGTTGTTAGAGATCTTTTTCTCTTTCTTCTTTCTTTTCACATCTTTCTTAAGTTTTGGACAGTCTGGTCTGATGTGACCAAGTTTTCCACATTCATAACACTTGTTCCTATTTGTTTTCTCCTTTCTTTACTGCCCCTTTTTCCTGTTCTTCATAAACCGAGAAAACTTTTTAACAAACAAAGATATATCAGAATTTGAAAACTCACCTTCATTTTCATTTTCATCTTGTGAAGTTTTTACTACATTTAGAGTTATCATCTTGACTTGATTCTATTCATTGTTCTTTAACCTTTGTAGCTCCATCTCATGCTCTCGCATCTTCCCAAATAGAGTAGCAATATCCATTTTTGTGAGAATCTTTGATTCTGTAATAGCAGTGACTTTTGGTTGTCAATTCTTATCTAAGGACTTCAAGATTTTTGTATTCAACTCCTCATTGTCAAAACTTTTTCCTAAAGCTTCCAAGTGATTTACTATATGCGTGAAGCGTGTTTGTAAATCAGTGATGTTTTCATTTTGCTGCATTTGAAACAATTCATACTCCTGGATGAGTGTGTTATTGCGTGCTCGCTTTACTTCCTTTGTTCCTTCATGTGTCACTTCAAGAGTGTCTCACATTTCTTTTGTCATCTTGCATTGTGAGACCCTGTAAAATTCATTACGAGTTAAGGCAGAAACAATAGTGTTTTGGGCTCTTAGATCATATTGGGCACGCTTGCTTTCATCCAGCAACCATTTATCAAAGGACTTTGGAACAACTTCATCCATCGAAATGTAGGGATCATTCAGTACAACATCCCAGACTCTGTAATCCAATGTTTGTAAAAATATTTTCATCCTCGCCTTCCGAAATTGATAGTCTTCACCTTTAAATAGTGATGGTCTACTTATTGAGGCTCCTTCCCTGAAAACCTGATTCTGCATAAACATCTTGACATATCATTTTGAAATAATTTATCTAACCAAGCTCTGATATTACTTGTTAGACAAATGAAATCTAGAGGGGGGGGGTGAATAGATGAACAAATTAAAATAGATGTCAAATTAAAAATTTATTTTAGATGTCCAATAACTTGTTAATTCAATTTTATTTATCAGTTTGAATTCAGATAAAGCGGAAGCGATATAATCAGCAAGGTATAGGGAAAAATACAAGTGCACAAATATAGGGAAAACAAAAGCCAAGAGTCATAAAGTGAAGAGAAGAGCACATATTAATTTATACTGGTTTGGGTATAGTCAACCCTACATCTACTTCTCAATCACCTCTAACACAAGAGTGACCCCAATTCACTATCTTTAAAATTTAGTTTATAAATTACAATCAACCTTGCAGAAGAACCAGTAAAAGACAAACTAATTAAAAGACAATCACCTCTCTAGAATCCTACTAGAGATGAACACCTCCTCTGAACAAATCAAAGGATGAACACCTCCCCAAATAAATTAAAGGGATGAAAACACCTCCTTAGAATCCCACTAAGGATGAACACTGTTAGAAAAGTAGTTTTAAATCAAGAGGGGGGGTGAATTGATTTTTGAAAGTTTTTCGCAATACACAGATTATCTAATTCGAAAATTAAGATTACTTATCAATTCACAAATCACAAAGCAATCAAACAGTTTAAGTGCAGCAGCAGAAATTAAAGAGAGAAAGGTTAGGAAAGATTTCACCGGTAATTTTATACTTGGTTCACCCAATACCAGGGCTACGTCCGGACTCTAGCCAAATTCCAGCTGGGTTCCACTAGAATAGATGTTTTACGAGACTCACCCTCTTACACCTATTCTAACTCTCCACCAAGAACCAAATTCCAGCTCTTGGAAACCTCTCGCAACCAAATTTCAGTCAGCAGAGAAACCAAGTGCCCAAATTCCAGGCACCACACACAAGAACCAAATTCCAGCTCTTGCTTACAACCTTCCCACCAAGAACCAAATTCCAGTTCTTGGCAACTTTCTACAACAATGCAGAAAACTTGTACCCAAATTCCAGGTACAAAACAAGTACAAATGAATGAATAGAAATTTAAAAGAAGAAACAAAGAAAGCTCAAACCGGATTACACCAATCCACAGTCAGTTTCTTCTTCAAAGAAATGCAAAGTGCCTCAAGAAAGATTTCAAAAGAAGTTCACAAAAACAGTTGTGTATCTTTCTTGAAAAATGCTAATAGTTGCTTGTATTGATTGCTTGAATTGTGTCAAAACTGATATGTGATCTATATCTCAAAGTTTCAAGCAAATCTGTTTATAAAAGAGTATTTTCAAATCTGCTGCATTAATTAATCTGTTGAAAGTTTGTTTTAATCTGTTGAAATAGCCGTTACAATCTGTTAAAAGTCCTTTCAACCCATTAATGCGTTCTTGATCTTTAACAGAAAATGTTTTAGTTGATACGACCACGTTTTTATCGGTTAAAACGTTTTACAAACATTTTCTAAGTATAAAACAATCGATTGAATCACGTATTAATCGATTGATTTGTTTAAAAACCTCTTTATAAAACTTTCCAAGTTATTTTAGTCGATATAAAGTCGTTTCAATCGATTGAAAATCTGCACATATATTTTCAAGTCATTTTAATCGATTGAAAGTTCGTTTTAATCGATTGAAAAGATTTTCTAAGTTATTTTAATCGATTGAAATGCGTTTTAATCGATTGAAATAAGTCTGATCGGTCATAATTCAATTCTGATCGATCATAACCAACTTCGATCGGTCATAATCTCATTCTGATCGATCATACCTGACATCCAAAGTGATTTTAATCGATTGAAACGTGTTTTAATCGATTAAAATAATTCTAATCGCTCATATTTAAGATCTGATCGATTATATTGCATTCTGACCTATTACATTCGAATTCTAATCGGTCATAAAGAGTTTTAATCGATTAAAAGAAGTTTGTATCGATTAAAATATTGTAAAAACACTTTTTAAAACATTCTAAGTGTTTTAAATTGATTCTTTCAAACCTTTATCAGCTTAATAACTTGTTTAAGAAAATTCTTTGCCAAAATGCTTTTGTTTTTTATTTGTTTAAAACTATTTTTGAGGCATTTTGCAAATTGAGTGAAGAAGCTTTATGCAGTGGAAAAGGTAAAGTGGTTTTACCTAAGCTTTCTGTTTAGACACACTAAGTCTTCAGACTCCTTTGTTCCGAGTGACTTGTTTGACTCGCTGCAGAGTTGACCCTTGACTTTATCTTTGACTTCATCAAATCAATGAGATCTTTGCTAGGATCACTTTCAGTCTCCCCCTATTTGATGAAGACAAACACCATTTTGAAAAAACAATCTCTGCAAAATAAGTCACTTGATAATGCAGTTAGGTGAGAAATATAAGAATGTAATAAAGTTTTGTTTCTCCCCCTAAAACTTATTTCTCCCCCTAAAATGTTGTTCTTAAATTTATCTTAAAGTGATGCAACTATTTCTCCCCCTTTTGACTTCATCAAAAATAGGGAATAGAAGAGAGAAGAATGTAAGGTTTCGAAAAATATGCTCAAGTTTTTGAAAATACAAAAGTGAATCAATATTTCACTCATGAAAAGAATCAATTAAAGTTGATTCAAACTTATCTCCATTAACACGTTTGTAATGAATACAATTAACACGTGTAAAGATAAGGGAATCACGCTTTAGTAGCATGTTTACGTAAACGACCATTAACTAAAGCCTTTAATCTTTCTTCCCGAATAAAAATCGATTAAAAACGAGCATAATCGGTTAAAATGTTCTTGGTAAATGATTTTAATCGATTGAAAGAAAAGTTTAATCGATTAAAACATTTAAGATTTTGAAAACATGAAACTTTAGTAAAAATAATCGATTATTTCGATTTTAAATCGATTAAAACGATGAATGAAAACTGTTGTTTAAGTTTATTTAACCGATTAAAAGGTGTTTTTATTGACTAAAACAACCAGACTTGCA